GTGCCCCAGATGCTGCCACTGTCCCCTCCAGTCTCCCTAGTCCCTGTCTGAGCCATTGGGCAGATGCCGTGCTCCACTCTGGGCCCTGGCTGGCCTTGTGGAGAGACTCTGTGACCTGTGGCCATCGTCAGAGGTCTTGGGCTCTGCCTCCCCCAGATCTCCTGGGCACGGAGTGCCTGGGATCCCCCTGAATTGTGCAGAGAAGATAGCATTCTGGGTAATCAGTGCTGCCTTTTCTTGGAAAGCACAGCCTCATGCCTTACTGTGGCATCTATACCAAGGGGCAGGGTCGGGGAGGAGTGAGGGGAACCCATACTTGCTGATCACCTGCCGTGCACCTGACACATTCATGCCCCTCACCTCGTGGCATCCCCAAAGCAGCCTCATGAGTCAGTGTTAGCGTCAGAGAGCTTGGTCAGAGCTGGGGTTCGAACCCAGGACCGCCTAACTGCAGACACTGGGTTGTCCCTGCTCCCCCGTGCAGTTTCCTGACAGGAGGGTCAGTGAGTGAGCCCAGGGCTGGTGGAGGGGAGAAAGCAACAACAGGTCACGAGGCTGCTTGAGTGTCCTCACAGCATGGCTTCCCATCCCCAGTGCACATCACCCAAGAGAGCGAGGAGGTAGCTGCAGTGTCTTTTATGGCCTGGACTGGGAAGTCGTCATTCCTGTCCTGTGCTGTTCGGTAGGAGCAAGCCATTGAGTCCAGCCCACACTCAGGGTACACCTCTTGAAAGTGACTGTCAAGTAATAGGTAGACACGTGTTATTTTTATTTTTTAAAGTTTATTTATTGGGGCACCTGAGTGGCTCAGTTGATTAAGCATCAGGCTCTTGGTTTCAGCTCAGGTCACGATCTCACAGCTTTGTGGGTTCGAGCCCCACGTCAGGCTCTGCGTTGGCAGCACGGAACCTGCTTGGGATTTTCTGTCTCTTTCTGCTCCTCCCCAGCTCACGCTGTCTCTGTCTCTCTCGAAATAAATAAACTTTAAAAAAAATAAAGTTTATTTATTTTTTATTTATTTAAAAAAATTTTTAACGCATATTTATTATTGAGAGACAGAGCATGAGCATGGGAGGGGCAAAGAGAGGGAGACATAGAATCTAAAGCAGGCTCCAGGCTGTGAGCTGTCAG